TGATAACCGTCCTGCAATTGGCCCAGTTACCCAATATTAAGGTACTTGATTTTGTTTGTAGAACTGTATGTTCTCTACCGTCTAATTGATTGGTTATGGATTTACCAGTAATAAGGTTTCTTCATTGTGTATAAAACTATTATCTTTATGTATTTTACCTTATAACTAATGAAAGACTTGGTTCTAGGTTGCTACAGTACTACTGTGTTCTGCATTCATGTACGACATTTTTTGGGTGTTCCTATCCCCTTTTATATTCCACGACAGTGTTATGATTGCGGTAAGTCTTGGTTCATATTTTGCACATTTACTTGTTGCATTTTGAAAGATTAGTTTTTTCGTTGCCGGAATTGATTAATAATATAGTTAAGAATATAGGGGAATTTCGTTGTTGTCTAACAGCTGTTTATGCTTTTTAAGCTAGGTGTATTTATTTCTTCTATTTTTTTACAGCCTTTTCAATTTATTAGAAAAATCAGAAGACAGTTTTTGTGATGCTAAATACCTAAAAAAATCGGCATGTACTCCTCAAATGTTCTCTTTAACAATAGAAATAGTATTAATATTGCCAAATTTTTTTCTGCATTTGTTCAGTTGCCACTGGGCAATGGTGCCACTGGCTTTTTAGAGCACCTCCAGTGCTCTGTTTGCAAAATTGATTATTCCAACCCCCTTAACTCCCCATTGGGACCGGAGTGCCCAGTGGCACAGTTGCCCAATGGCAACGGAACCCCTCTGAATTTTTTATGCTTTAGCATCCACTACAATTTAGTAGCGTGAGCATGTCTAGTGGGAATAAAATTTGGTTGAAAGGGAAGATTGAGTTAAATTTTCTGTAGTAGTAGCTGAAATGGTTGAATTTGCTGGATGGACTGAATTATCTAAAAAAACATATTTGAAAAATAATTGTTAAAATAAACTAAAGACTAGTGAAATGGCTTTGTTAGTCCTCTAGTCATACCCATGGAACACTCTTACTCCTTAATTAACTGATCTTTGTACATCCTATCCTTGATTTTTATAAAGAGTTGCTTATTTAGTCTTTATCTGTTACTGTCACATCAAAACTAATGCATAAAATGTTGTATTATGTCCTCTTTGGGTAATGGAAAATGGAAGAAATATGAACAAGTCTTTTTGAGACCGAGGGAGTATTATTTTTCTAACCCACGGTAAGCAACTAGTTTTACAGGCCATTCCTAAACACTTGAAGGCTCATAATTGGTTCTTCCAAGTATTTAACAACCCTTGTTCTACGTGACTGATTCTCGTCCCAGACGATAATCATAAGTTTCATTTTTTTCCTTCCTCTCTTGTCTTCTTCTTGTGTGCTGCTGTCACAACTTATGAAAGTAGTCGTAGAGAGTATTTTTAAAAGACCCCAACTCACAAGGACAAATGAAATGAATGAGAAAAGTCCTATAGGTAAAACTAAACGCAATAAGATACGGGAGCAAGAAATGATGATAATTTATCAACATACAAAAAAGACAACGAGAGCACCCCACTAAACTTAGCTCCCCCTCCCCCAAATAATAAAAAAATAAATATTAAAAAACCCAAATGGGCGCAAAACCTATTAAGAAAATATGTATCAGTTTGGTTTACGACAAGTTCTCGTCATGGTTTACAAGTTCTTTTAATATACCATATCATGGATATGCAAGTCGATGAGTTATCCTTGTACAAATATTTAGCTCTCATCATTCGAAAGAAAATAGATTTTTGTAACTTTTTTCTCTTTCAATACCTTTCAATCTTTGGGCTTGTTTTTTTTTTTTTGGCATGAAGGCCATTAGAAGGTCAATTGTGTGTTTTTTTAAACAGGTTATGGAGCCCAATAATAAACTTTTGATTTCTTCTCAATCAATCTCATCTAAAACATATATCTTCCTTCAAATGGCCAAGGCTTCTTGCTTTGCATAGCAAGCAGTTTGTTAAAACTATTTCTCCATTATTTTTTGTGACACTAGTCACGATATGGAGGGCATAACCGTACAGTTTGATATTATCGCGAACCCCCCCCCAAAACAACGGAGATATGATATATTTAACCACCTGTGCAGGTTGCTAAGGGTGACAAGAGTGGGGGAGAATCCATTCCAATGCTTCTGAGGGTGCCTCGACTATCAGATCCTTGGGATGGATATGACATGATTGGCTTTGGGGACATTCTGTTCCCTGGCTTGCTAGTTTCTTTTGCTTTTAGGTATGCTTTCTTCCACCTTGTGTTTTCGACACCACACACCAATTTTTCTTCAGAAAGAAATCTAGTCCTGGAGGCAGATCGTAAATACGAAAAAACACATAAAGTAGATAATGATTTGACTCTGAAATATAATGTTCATAGTTAAGAATGGTGATCTTCACAACTTTCTTTGAACGAACATGCACAATGCAGCTTAATAATGCACGTTTCTACCACACACAAACTTCACTTCATCGTTTACTGTTTCTAATTTCTCGATGTTTTTTGCAGATTTGACAAAGCTAACCAAAAGGGTCTACTGAATGGATACTTCCCTTGGCTAATGGTTGGTTACGGAGTGGGTGAGTATTTCTCCTTTTTCCACTGCCCCTATTTGCATCTAAGCTCTTCACAGAGGTTTACCATCCTTCTCGATCAAACTCATGTTGAATTTTTGCAGGCCTCTGGTTTACTTACTTGGGGTTGTATCTAATGAACGGACACGGTCAACCTGCTCTCCTCTACCTGGTACCCTGCACATTAGGTATTCTGCTTTCAAATCAAATGCCAGTTCACTTACATTTGGGTCTGTTTAGAAAACTGGAAAATGGCTTCTAGAAAATAATTTTGGGAAAATAAAATCATTTTCACATTCTTGGATGAAAGTTCAGAAAAATGAAAAAAAAAACTTGTGTTTGTTGTTATAAACGTGGAGTCGTTAGTTCACATCTAAATCATTTTCCTCTAAATAAGGCTCATTTTCCAGAACAGCCAAAC